GGAGGGGTGAGCAATGCCCTGGGGAAGCCAGCAGTCTTCAAGGAAGCCATTGATTCAAGCTCCCTTTTATCTACTGCATCAAGGGGACATGCTGAGAGCATGCCCTGTGCCTGAGCTGTTTGATGAGGGGTGATGGCCTCTGCAGGAGCACAGGAAACTTGCTCAGAGCAGCCTGGCCCCATAGCAGTCTCGGGAGAGCAGGAGGGAGAGCCAAGGCACAGGTAACAAACAGAAACGATTTGCTAGGACAACTCACAGTGCCAGTGCCCCCTTGCACAGGTCTCTGCCAGTGTAAATCATTGCAAGAACAGCTGTTGGGCTCAGCAAAAACAGGCTGATACAGACACCCATCCCGAAAAGAGGATGGGTGCTGCTATATCAGGAACTTGGGAATCTCGGGCAGGGGAGGGGGAATAACTTTACTGGAGTTCGTGCACAGCTCTGCTGTTGGCACCTCTAACTTTAAGCAAGATTCCAACGAGGAAAATCAGCTTTTGTGGCTGGGTCACGCCTCTGCAGAGCACTAGGACCATAGGATGCGTTTTGCTCATTTCAGCAGAGCTGACTTGCTCCAAAGGTTGGCACAAAGAGGACATTAGGGCATCTCTCCGAAATAAGCCGATGCAGAAAGAGAGGAGCATCATCCCCAGCCGGAGCTGGTGCAGGTGCCCAGGGTGCCCGGGAGCGGGTCCCGCCGTGTGCCCGGCGGCCACAAGAGGGAGCCCGATGCCCGGGAAGGAGCCGCATCCCCGCGGCGACACCCGCTCCTCCCGGCGGAGCTGCGGCGCTGGGTCCCCACCTGGGTGACCTCCTGCAGCCCCTCCTAGATCCTTCTTAATGGCTCACCATCATCATCACCAGACAAATCTAGAGCCTCGGCTTGCCGGCTGTAGCTGTGAACAATGATTAAGGGCATTGTCTAGAAGCAGAGGATGACAGAAGGATGTGTTTGCAGGGCAGGGCCCAAGCAGCTGATGGTTTTATCACAGGTGACTCCACAAAAAAATCATCCTCCTAAAGAAAGGCACTGTGTTCTTTGGGAAGAAGGCCAGAAGTGTCACAGGCAGCCCTTGCCACGATACTGATGTGTCAGTTGACTCCCAATTAAGCCATTTTAGCTCGGAAAGGGAAGTACTCTATTACACAGCAGCACCACTTTTCTCACATCCCTGGGAAACCACAAGCCAGATTCTAGGGCCAATTCTGTTACAAGCCCTGAAGCTGTTGTCTGGGGCCAGGTTGGTCAGGGCATCCCTCCAGGCCCAGCAGAAACTCAGTTTTGACCCAGTTTTCAAGATTGAGGCTCTGCCAAAGCCCTGCTCACTCTAGAGACCAGAAGAGCTGACTTTATTAAAGGTCTTACCCCTCACTGTCCCAAGGGTCCTAAAGCCAAAGAGATTCCTTGGAGCACCATCCTGGAGCTTTAAAACAACCAACTCTTTATGCAGTATCTACCTTTCTATATAGATATATTTTATGCCTCCCCCGGTCTCCCTTTACATACTGTGGTAACCCTTGTCTCCCACATGCATTTTATAAGCCTTCCCCAGCATTTTTAGAGCAGCCTTTAAGACATGAAGACCAGCCACAATTACTGCAGCTGCTCCCCTGAGAAGCTCCTAAACCACACAACTTATTTCAGGGAGGAAAAGAAAACAATCAAAACCAACCCAAACCACCAAACAAACACCAAAACTCACACCACAAAGCAAACTCCTCACCTTCTCTTTGCTCCTGAATCAGTGAAACCAGCCAAATCCTTCCCCTGGGCTCCTATTTAAGCCCTTGTGGTGGGGATGGGGGGCACTGTTGGATGATTGCCAGCATCTGGGAGCCGTTTCACCCCAGAGCAGACTCAGCTGTTCTCTAATCCTTAAAGGACCCAATACTCACTGACACCCTCCTGCTGCTTCCTGCAACTATCACCATCTGCATCTTCTCAGCCCCCTGCAATACTCCTACAGTTCTCCCACCCACTCCCTGAACAATCCTTTTCCTTGTCCCCATAGCTCAGTCTTCCCTCCCATGTTCAGTTCTGGGCCCCTCTCCAAAACAAGAAGGGCACTGAAAAACTTGAGGAAGTTTGGTGAAGAGCCACCAAGAGAGTTGGGGGTGGAGCATTTGCCCTGTGAGGGAGGTGGAAGGTGCAGAGGGAGGTGGGCTTGTTCAGCCCACTGAGAAGAAGGCTTCAGGAGGATGTCAGGGAAGCCTACCAGTTAAGAAGCAAATTACTGAGCAGACCAGATGGAGCCAGGCTCCTCATGGTGGTGCATAGTTTGGAGACGTGGCAGTTGAAAGAAAAGAGGTTGAAACCTGTTACAAGGAAAAAATTCCTTACAGTCAAACCCTGGGACAGGTAGACCAGGGAGATCACACATTCTCTACCCCTGGAGGTTTTCAATGCTAGACTGGATAAAGCCCTAAGCAACCTGATAGACCTCAGAACTGACCCCACTGGAGGTTGGACCAAAGTCCCTTCCAACCTAATTGAGCCTGCCTTCTCTTAGGGAAAAGAGGGTGTACAGAATGATCACCAAGTCCAGAGCTTCCTCCTCAGCCATGCTGTGGGAGCCCTGCAGTCAGCACAACCACCCTAAGATCATCCCATGACAGCTAGAAAAGCCTTGTCAAACACTGTGAATATCAAGGGAAAAAAGTAGGACAAAGGATTCAACTGAGTTGTGACAGCGACACGTGCCTGTGCTGGGGGAGGAGAAGGAAGTGGTGGAGCACACCAGTTAAATGGGCCAAGAGCCTGGACACAGTAATGTATCAGCTGCATCACCAGCAGAGTGAAGCCGTGAGGTGGAAATACACCCTTCCCCTCTGCCATGTGCACAGCCTGGTCACAGGAGAGTGCTCAGCTGTGAGCAATGTCTTCTTTTCAGTAAGAGCAACCATGCACAAATTTAATTGTCCCATTATTTTAACTGCTGAGAGGGACTTTGTGAGATGTGGGAAGCACAGGTCCCTCATTCTGCTGCAAGGGCCAGGTCTTGGCAGTGGCCAAGATGCTGGGGCAGGTCCCACCTCTGTCCTGTAGCTGAGGACACTTCCTCTCCAGGGAGAGAAAAAAATTGTGAAGATGCTCATGTTATCTAATAGAAGAGAGATGTCAAGTTTATCATGACTCACCTTTCAAAGCTGTCAAAAAAATCCCCCAAACCCAACACATCTTAAAAGGTGGAGGACAGAAATGAAAGGAAAAGTAGTGGCTGAAGGTTTGGTTTCTGGTTTGGTACGTGTACAGGGAGGATGCCAGAGACAGGTGGGAGCTCAGTCTGTGGCCACTGCCACGCTCCTACCCTGTCCCTGGCATCCATCAGCCCTGCCAGGGAGGTGAACTCTGAAACCAAGACTGAACGGCCCAGCACCAGCAAAACATCACCCTCATCTCAGTTAACTGGAGTTATGTGCTGGCTCAGCCAGAAGGATGGACCACAACAGTGTAGCACTGCCTCTCTTGCTCTCTCCTGGGGAAGTTTCCCCAATTGTGAGAAATCATCTCCTCAAAGAAGACGGCTCCCATTCTCCATTCCCCCAGCACAGGTGGAAGAAACGGTAGTTGGTTCTGTAGAGGGTACAGAGGTGGTTTTATTTGCTATTTGCACTGAAAGTTTCTGTTCTGTTGTGATCTATTCTTGTTATTTCAGCCTTCAGATTAAAAAGGAATAGATACTGGAATATGCTGGGAGATTTTTGGAGTCACTGAGGATCATCTCAGGCACAAAGATGTCCTTCTGTCATTAAAATATCTCTTTCCATCTTAAAAATGGGGTCTTTTTTTTCCTGTGCTCTGAATGTGGTGCTGGTCCAGAGCCACTCAATGCAATAGGATCATTGCAGGATAACTCAGGGAGGAGAGGACATGCAGAGGTCATCCTGCTCCAAGCAGGAGGACTGATGAGGAATGTGCTCTCACTTTCCCTACATGTCCTTTGTGACCACTTGTTTTTGTGCAGGAGAAGCTTCTTGCTCCCCTCAGTCTTGTCCATGTTCTGGATGTCTTGCTGTTGAGTTCACTGATGTAACATCTGAATTTAAAACCAAACAAGTGCACTTCTCATGGCTGTATGACCTGGGACACACAGCACTCGTCTGCTTCCAATAAGAGGTGTCAGAATCCAGTAAACTGGAATGGAAAAAACATCAGGATCAAAGACAGTTGGTCCAAGAGAAGCTCCAAACCAGCCAATGCGGATTTTTGCCTACACGTTTCAACCACTGCCTGGCTGCTGCCTGTAAAGGTATCCAATAACAAAGGATTTGCCAGAATTGGCATCACAAATGTGAATTATCAGAAGAGAAGCCAGCGCTAGGTGTGCTGAGCATGGCCTCTCTGTTTAAGCATTGTGCTCCATTGAGTTCAAAGTGTGGATTGTGGCACGGTAGGCAAACACTCAAGCTCTGTCCAAACAAGGTCCAGAGGTTTAGATGCTCAGCATTTAGGTGCTTGCAAAATATGTTGACCCCTGAGGCTCATGATAAAATCTAAAGCTCCCTTTGAAAGGTAAGTGTTTAACATAAAGGAGCTGGTGTCCCATTGATCTGCTGCCAATGTTTTAACAAGAGGAAGCCACAAGTATTTCCCTGTGTGAATCTTGCACAGTGGATGAGAAGAGACTAAACAATTCTTTTTCTCATGTTTGCCAAAGAAGGATTCTCCAGCCAGCACCAAGAAGAGAGAGGGCAGCAGTGTCAAAAAGAGAAGAAAGGAATAAAGCCTATGTGCATTAAAAATTGTAAATAAATAGAAATACTTGTGTCTAGAAAATCAAGGTCTCTGTATGATTCAGGCAGAGTTTATCCTAGAGGTGGGGAGAGGAAGCCCACAGCTCTTCTTCTCCAGGGTTGGTTTTTTTTTTTAATTATTGACACTTTATACAATCTGGTGCTCTTCTAAATATAATTTTATTAGCATGAGAAGCCACTTGGCAGCAGGAAGCTAATGCTGGTGAGTTCACAGCTTTCAAGACAAAGCGTTCTCCTAGAAGGAAGAAGAAAGACTGATTTGGAAAGAAGAGGCTCACAGCTTCTGCCTAAAACCAGCCTCCACCTGCCATCTTCTTGTCGCAGGCTTAAATGGAGCAATATTTCCCAGCCTCAGCTTGTTTGTCTCTGGTTTCCAAAGGAGATGAGGCATATGCAGTCACGCTGTTCACCAGCTCTCCTGTCACCCTCCCACAATAACCTCCCAGAGAGGAAGGAACATCTCTATGGAGGCTGGGTAAAGAATAAAGCCACCCGCTGCCACCCACCCCCTGGGATTGGGGGGAATTGGGCAGGAGCCCACGAGTGGTTGCGCTTCTTGGCTGCCCAGCGAGCGTGTGCCAGTTTGTCAGGAGGGACAGGACGGGACAGAAGAGCTACGGCTGCTGGGGATGGGAAGACAGAGCCCGTGGGATCTGCGGGAGCAGTCGCTCTGGCACAGGGAGCACCTTGCTTCCCGGGAGGAGAAGGGTGAGGAAATAGCACAGTAGAGCGAAGCCACTCATTAGGCTCTAGCATGGCTGTATCGAAGCGCTGTTCTGGGTGCTACGGCAAAAGGAATCCAGCCCAAGAATCGTGCTGAGCTTTATTTTATTGAGCAGAGGCGGCGGAGAGGAGGGCGAGCGGCTCCCGTCTCCGTCTGCGGCCGCCGCTGCCGGGGGTTCGGCTGTCGCTGCTCGGTGACAGCGAGGACTCAGCATTTCCCCAGGTGCTTCAATCTGATCTTCCCTCCGCTTCTCCTGTAAAAGGAGCAAGACAGACTTAGACAAAAGCAGTGTAAGACAGTCACAGCACTCGGGGACAAGGAGCTCGTCTGTCCAAAGAGGATCATTTGCCTGACTCGTGCCGGTGTACCCTGGTGCCTCACAGGGGACATCAAGCCATTTTCTTCTCTCCTTGCTCTTCTCTGCTTTCCCCTAGGATAAGGTAGACTTGAGTATGCACCACATCTTAAGGACTGCTAAGGAAAAACCAATATTTTGCAAGTACATTCAGTCCAGGGGTGCTGGCTCCTATTGCATCTCCTTTAAAAGGTGACAGAGGAAAAGGAGAAACTCAGGTTCTTCCTCTGAGAGTTTGTGTCCTGTTCCGCAAAGTCCATTCAGACTTTTCAGGAATAATTTGGCACGGCTCAGCTCCCGCATTCCTCCAGACACTTCTCAGTATCCAGAAGTGTGGGCAGAGAGAGTTGCAGCCTGTGGTGTATGGTGGGGAATGTGCATCAATTTACGACGTGCAGAAGGTACATGCAGGATGCAATTGCCTACCGGGCCCCGTGCTGCCTCTCAGCATGGCAACCAGCAGTGTGCAAAGCCTAGAAATGAATTTAAATTAACTTGCATTCATGTGGCTCTGTTCCAAGGAGGAAACATTCCACTTGGCACCATTCAGGGGCTAGTCCATACAAGAGGAGCAGCCTGGATGCGGGGCCTCCCCTCTGTGAAGAAGATCATTACGTACGTGGAAATGGAGCCAGCTCTCTCTGTTATTTGGATCCCCCTCTGCTCCCACTTACAGCACTGCCTTGCAGAAGGCACACTTGTTCCCGTACGTGATGCCATCCGTGCCGCAGTGGGGGTTGGACTCCCTCGTGCAGTACACGCTTCTGTTTACGAACTCTCTACAAATCTGCAAAAGGAATATTAAAAAAAAAAAAAAAAAAGAAAAAAAAAAGATCCAAACCCTTTCAGGACTCCCATACTCTCTCTTTCACTTTCCAAATTGGATACAAGGTCACTAATGTAATGTCTTTTCTGCCAGGAGTACTGAAGTGGCAGTGATGACACTGCCTATTTACTGAAAGAAAAAGCCCTGTCAGAAACGAGCAGAAGCAATGTTTCAGGGGAGTTTTTGCCCCATGTGTGAGGAGGGAAACTGTAATCACCTGGGAGAAGTCTTGATCTCCCAAAGACAGAAGTGGATTAGCTTAGGCATGTAAGAGAGGAGTCAGCACTGATGCTCTTTCAGGCACTTGGCTCCAGGTCAGCTCAATGCTCCATGGCTTCATGCATCTTGCGAAACTGTGCTCTCACCTTGGTTCTTGCTGAGCTTTCTCTCTTCCCAGTGGAAGGAGGGGAAACCCTTAATCTATTGGGAATTAAAAACGGTGTCCAGGAAATTTACAGGTATTTTGTCTCTGGACAGGTCCCAGGGATGGGCTTTGTTTGGGGGTATAAAACACTCTCAATAGTCCCTTTGTTCCATGAGAAGTTTGGACAGTGGAGCAAAGTGGACAAAAGGAGTGCATACAAACACAACCCTGTACAAGCACCCTAGACCTAATCATGGGAAACATTTGCTAAACCAGCCTTCTATTTCCCTGGTCGACTTGCTAACATGGTCACACATAACATCCCCTGTACAACAGTGGACTCCCCAAAGTGTTGGGTCATCTTGGAAGGACCCACTTGTTCCCAGCAGACATTAAAAACCGTTTACCATACACCAAGATCTGGGTTACAAAACCATTCTTCTAGAAAATACAGATAGAGTAAGCAGAAACAGGTGCACTAACCTCTTCAATGTCTTGACCTTCTACATCTGGAAAAGAAAACAACAAAAAAAACAAACAGAGATTTTACACGTCAGCATTATTTTCTGACAGAGGCTGAACTAAAGTCACAAACCCTTTATGCAAACCCCAGTGAAACAGATAGCGGGTTTTTCCCACTCCATCATCCTGCGCGGCGGAGGAGGGGGGTAGGAAATACATTATCTGAATTGCTTTTCAGTATTTTGCTTTTTTGAAAAATGTTACTAAAATACCACGCAATCAGTCATTCAGCTGCTAACTGCACCTCAGACACATAACCCAATCTCCTGGAAGGCAGCCACTCCCGGGGAAGCGAGCTGCCGTATCCGATCTGGAGCCGCGTTCAACAGAGATTTTAAAGCTATATTGACTTTTGAGGCTTTTAGGCTCCTGCACCTCTGAACAATGAAAATGGCTGGTGCTGCTGACAAGGATATACTGCGGAGAAGGAGATCCTGTGACCAGCTTGACAAGCCATTCTCAGCACAGCCCAGAGACTCTCCCAGAACAACTTCATCCCGAGCGAGATACAAAGAGACGTCGTGGGGTGATAAAGAGCAGGACAGGCAGTGCCGGTCAGTAAAAGTGAAAAAATACCCGCTGTAACCACTGGCTTGAAGATAATCAGTCCATCCTCTCTATATTTCTTCACTGCAAAGACTGCAGTCAGGCGTGTAGGTTGAGTCAGAGCTGCGGGACAGGGCGACCCTGCGATGTCTCTAAGGGGGAGCCTGACACTCAAGGGTGGGTTGAATGCAGATTTGAAGAATCTGGGTCACAACACACTGGGAAAAATACCTAGCATCTCACAGAGCAACGGGGCAGCAGATGTTCGGAGGGGAGGCAGTACCTGCTGGGTCAGTGGGATCTCTGGCTGTGATGCTGCTCAGATGGCTCTGGGCAGGAGGGAACCTGGGGCAGGAGATAGGAGGACCTTGTCCCACACTCATCGCCTCCCCAACATTGGAAATCCCAACCAAGCCTCAGTCAACTGGACCATCGCTCATCAACCCACCCTACTTCTTCTGCCAACTGCATCACCCTTTGGTCTTCTATCCCCGGTGCTTTTGTATTTATCGTGTCCTCAGGTTAGGCTGGGCTGCCTTAACTGTAAAGTCACTATTAAGGCTATCTGCATATTATTTACAAAATAGCTCATTCAATAGCTTTTATAAATATTACATGCAGCTACACAAGACTTTGTGATGATGCCTCTTGACATTTGTTTATTTTATAGGAGATCACAGAGTTTGCTGCTATTCTGCCTGGCCTTGGAAGGAAGCTTCAGCACTCTGACGGAACCCAGTCCCAATTAAGACTCAATTAGAGACAGATGAATATTTCATAATGAATAATGTGTACGAAGTAATTCACCTCTTTTCTCCATGCACAGCTTGCAATTTTCTCAAGTGAATTCTTTATTCAAATTATTCACAGAAAACCAAGTATAAATAATTCTTGTTCTGCATGTTCTTCAGTAACTGTCACCACAAACCTTCCAGAGCTGGGTCAGCTGGACACAAGCAATCGATAACACTGACATGACCCATATGTTCAAAAATCATCACTCAGCTTCCCCACATCATCAGAGAGATATGTAAATCTCCAGATAAATAAATGCTGGATCCTTTTAATTTGCCCTCTTTGTTCTGACTCCTTGAGGACATTTGAATTTAATTTTCAAGCTTTTCTCTGCAACATAAACGAAAGCTGAAACTTTCATCTAATTACGTTTCCACATCTCCAAGGAAAACACCAAATAACAAGATGCTTAGGATCAAAACAGGAGCTGATGACCCTGAGGTGAATGAGTTTCTTCTCTAACTCGTTCTGCAAAACTCTCCAGCGAACATTTCTACCAAAAAATTCATAATTACGCTCTGCTTTGGTACATTTGCTGAAAGAGCCGCTTAGAATTTGCTCGCTCTGTCTCCCAGTGACACCTCCGCTGCGTTATTCACTGCAGAGGCCCACGAGGAGTGGAAATATGTCATACGAGTGAGCAAACCCCACAGACATTTTCTACTTGCTCAGCTTTATCTTCAAGCCTGTCATCCGCTGATCAAGACTCTCTGAAGTTTGCTGTTGTCAAGAAAGATTTGGGTTTGTTGTTTTTTTGGTGTTTTTTTTTTTTCTTTTCTAGGCTAGGGAGAAGATCACTTACCCGAGAAGAAAGAGAGCAGGAGGAGGCTGAGAAGCACTAAGGCACCTGTTGCCTTCATGCTGCAGGTAGGTCTTTAGTCCAAGCCAAGCGACCTGCGCGAGAGGTGTCGTCTCAGCACCAGAGCCCACAGTGCACACTCAGACCTGCCTTTCTGTGTATTTATGCACCCATCCGTAGCTGTCCTCATTCCCCACCTTAATTGTGAGAACTTCTCCACTTCATTTCTAAAGCCATTATTGGTCCTGGCCGTGTTTATGGTGCTTTAGGAATGCTGCCCTGTCCACATCAAACCTAGAAAGGGCTAATTATATGAGTGATAGACTCGGGCTTGTAATATCTTTTTTTTTTTTTCTAAATAGTCACAGGATTCTCACAAGGGTGAATTTTCAAAGCGGTGATTCATCAGGGAAGCTGGTAATTTTCATTCTCTGGGCCCTCGCTGAATGCCAGCTCCAAGGGTTTGACTGCGGCGTGATGACACTCACTAGACGTTACGAAATAAATCACAGCATGAGAATATGTTGTCTGTGAAACCAATTATACGTTGTTCCCTGGCTATTTTTGAGGATGGTTCTAAATCTGTTGGGTTGGGGTGGAGAAGCGCTCCGGTGTGACATGCTCTCATAGCTGTGTGCACAGTCCCAGATAGGACTGCTGACTCTCCTCCCTGAACTATTTAAACTCTAGCTGTCAATTTTTTCCAGTTTTTTCGTGTTCACAAACATATGTTAGGGCTCTGCTCCCACAGCAAGTGCCAATGAAGGGAATTTGGTGGGGAATCAGGAGACTCGAGCTCTATTTCCAGCTGAGTCTGTGGAAAGATTTGTCTTCAGCTGCACCATTTCCAAAATATCTGTTCAGGTAATAATAAAATTTTAGCCCACTTTCCTAAGAGGACAAGGCTTATGAGAACACCATGTGTAGATATATATGTTTATTAGTTCCCCCTGTAAATTTTGAATCTACTAGTTCCATCCAAATTTGACATAGGAATGAAAAAAAAAAATTAAAATAAACCCAACATCTTTATACATTTTTCTAGCAACAGAGGAAAAATCCTACTAACGTCCTCATCCAGTGAGGGAGAGAGTTTCTGCAGGAGAGTAACGTTATGAAGGCCCTACATCTGTGCAAGCATTACAGTTTGCAGCTTGCCAGACATCTTAAAATCCACACAGCAGAGAAACCGTGACTGACAGGTGAATTCTCGGATGTCTATTAAGGGTGAGCTCACGACACAGCCTCTCATATAATTTAGTTATCAAGTCAGTCAGCCACAGCGCCGTTCAAAATCACGCTTAGTTCTGCCACTCGCAGCACTACTTGTTTGCCTTTTCTGGTTTCATACGTCACTGCTCACAACCACAGCCCTTAACGTCTCTGTCCTTTATCTACCCGACTGTTTCGGTTGGTGCAGCAAAACTGACTGGCTCAAGCCTTCACAAACGTACCACAGGGACCAATCCCTTCCGGGCTGAGGAGAGGAAGAGACTAAATTACCAACCTCATCATTATCATTATTACCCCTTTCCACTTCTTTATAACATCTGAAACAGGCTACTTACCGGCTGAGGTAAGGAAATCCTTCTGTCCCTCTGCCTTCTCTGAAAATCAGGGATAGAAGAAGGGCACCTGGACCTCATTTTGCAGTCTAATTGGTGTAGTTGGGCAGAAGACTTGATGGTCTCAAGCTGAGTACCTACCTGTGCTGGACCAGTCTTCACTCTTATGTGATACAAACCTTTCCATCTTCTAAAGAGTTTTGCTTTGAGGCTCTCGAGGCATCTAGAATAAAGTCATATACCCAGTACTTGCCATTTTCTGTAGGTGAGCAGCTCTTCTATGGGCTTTTCCAAAGCCTCTTGACCTCCTAAGCAAGTATCTGGCTTCCTCAGGCCAGTTTCTTCCTCAAACTACTCCTGCAGAGGAGGCTCACTGTAAGAACTTGTTGCTGAAGACAATTTCCTGCTATGGCCAAAACTCCACTAGTCTGTGGCCACTCTATAAAGCCAACAAGAAATTATAGTAGAGCTTGGTCCTGTGCTGACAGGTGTCTCTTCACTTAGGCTGTTCCTTAATTATTTTTCACACACACACACAAGCACATAAGCAGTGAAAACTCTCATGACCCTCCAGTTTGTCTTTTTTTAAGAGCAGGCACAATGTTGTGATTTATACTGCCTGTACTAACAGAAAAAAACTCTGAAAACTAGAAGTGCCAATCTTCTTCCTAGGACAGAGAATTGCTCTGTGCTAGTACCAGGGGAAGGACAAGCCTCTTACCTTCTGCTGGAAAGGACCTACAAAATTCCTGGTGAAGAAATTTTCTACTTCAGGAAACAAGATCCAAAGAAAAAGCTTGGAAGTCAGAGATTTTGTCCTAAATAGCAGCCTTAGCAGCAGATATGTTGCTACATAACAAGAGAATGGGAGGTGAAGAAAGGAAGAGGAAGAGAGTGTGTGAGCCATGACACTTGGACTTTTTACCTGTGCTGCTTGCATATTAGCTCCTTGACTCACAGAAAAAGATGACACATTATCATGAACATACATATATATCATTGCTCCTCCGGTGCACTCTTTAGGCTACCACAAAGATGTTATCTCCATACCTCTTTTTTCAAGATAGAAACCATCTTGGAGCTACCAGCACATCTTCTGGGCCTTCTTTCCTAGGGCTAGAAGATCTAAGACCTTTTCCAGTAGGGTCTGCTGTCCTACCTCTGCCTCAGATACCCCAGATACAACTTTTCATGTCTCTTCTCCAAGAAGCTGAAAACCTGAGCCCCATCTAATTTCTCCTTGGGTCCTCATTAGGCTCATTACAGCCTTGCCTAGCCTGCTGCAATTTTCTGCTGATCAACACAGTCTCGATGGACACACCCTTCAATGAAGCAGCAGTTCCTAATTTTCTTCCCTATGAGATAGCCTCCTCCCTTTGCCATAAGCCTCCTTTGTATAAAGCACTGCCAGACCTGCCCCTTGCCCAGGTAGGGCTGACCATGGCCACCTTTCTCTTCCACACTTCTCCAGGGCCATCCCCCCATGCCAGGGCCCTTAAAAGAACCAGTTCCTCCAAGACTCAGTGCTGTTACAAAGACAAATCCATTTACACTCTATAAGACACCAAAATTAGGGAAGTGGTAGTATTTTATAGCAGCATGGATTCTCTTCTGATGGTTTGGTATGGAGTGACATCCTCTCATGAGGGCTTGGGCTGGTGTGTGATTGGTGTTAGGCTTTGCTCTTTATTGTGGTTTATTTCACAGCTTCTCCCGCCTAATGGATAAGTACCTAAAAGCCTGAAGACCATTACCCCTGCCCTGAAAAAAAATCCCCAAAAACCAGTCCATGGCAAAGAGGGTGGTTGCATTTCGTTTATTGATCAATCGAAGCAGAGAGCAATGTGTGGTGGTCGAGGGAGTGGGAAAGAGCATGTTTGATTGCAGGATTTGTAAGGGAAAAATCAGGGCAAAGAGTGTGGCTCCAGCGCTTAGCACGCACCACGGTGTCTGAGGAACAGACTTCCCCGGCTCGTCCTGAAGAGAAAGAGGGAGAACAAAATTACAGTCATGGATCTCAGCTTTATAGTCTAACTCTACCCAAATAAGCCAGTGCTCTTGTGCTCTCCAAGTTATAAAGTACTTTGCTTCATGTTTCCCCTCTTTCCTGATTCCCCAGGTTACATGTTGATTCAAGTGAAAGAGTTTTGGGACAAACCCCATAATTTTGGACACCACCTATGTCACAGTTTAAATCACGCTGGCAGGGAGGGAGTCAGCAGCACTACGAGCCTGCGAACGGGGATCTGGATTTAATTGCAAGGGAAGGAGAAGACTCACTCGGGCTTAAGATCTGCAGTGACTGGGAGGTGACAGAGGAGTGAGTGTCCGGAGAGGAATGTGGGGCAGGGATGGATTTACTGAGGGGTTAACGGGATCTCTGGGGCTTCCACACCAGCTACCACCACTGCGTGTGTGCTCCAGCTCCTCTGGCTTCACAGCCACATGGTGAGCTCCATACTTACGAAACTGCGTTGCAGAAGTGGCACTTGTTTCCATAAGTTCTGCCATCAGAGCCGCAAAGGGGGTCGTAGTTGGAGGTGCAGAGGAGGTTGGTACCCTTCTGCTGGGTGCAGTCAATGCTCTAATAAGGGAGCAACAACAGGTTTTAAAGCTTTTGTCCCCCGTACTTTCCTACATGAGTGCTTTATGTTTATTTAATGTTTATGATATGGCAAAGCATAAAAGCACTTTTCAGGTTCAGAGCTCTGTAGTTCTAGCAACTCTGCAAACTTGAAAGCAGAGAAAGTGCTTTCCTGGAGCAGCCTGAAGCAGGGAGAAGGCAGAGGGAGGGGAATCTAATAAATAGTATTATAAATAGTGAAATGACCATGCTGGTATTTCCAGGCTGACCCTCAAACTGGCTGCTCTGGTTCAGCAGACTAGCAGAGGCAAGCGTCCAGAAAGTGGATGGTTGCAAGCCACACTGTAGAAAGTACCCCCACCTGAGGAATCACAGCTACTGATAGTGCTGGTAGGATATGGCTCTCCTGCCGAAGGGATGAGGCAGCATCTCTTGCTTACCCCCTTACCCCGCAATTGAAAGTCTCGGCACCCATGACTGCTGTGTTCCCAGGTCAGAGAGGGAACTGCATATGAGAGTCATAGATTTGGTTCAGAACCCTTCGACCCTGACATATTTCAACTATTTTCTTCAAACCCTATTTCCAGGCCAAATGCACCAGGACAGTGCAGGTGTTTCTATCATTTAGTTATTTTTCAGTGAATTTGTGTTGTAAAATATATTGTAACTGCAGTGAAGAGCGCAGATTTACCTCCGTTGGCTGGTAGCATGCTCCCATATTGCGCAGGTTAACGTCCAGTCCATTCCTTTGGGAAGAAAGCGAGTTGAGAATGAATGAGCACAGACTTCATGAGTCAAACTACCTCGTTACGCTCTAAATACCAACAGAGCATCTACTGATCCAGAAACTGCTCCCATGACCCAGCCCCTTCACTTACGCCACAGCGTTGCAGAATTGGCACTTGTTTCTGTAGGTAACTCCGTTGGTGCCGCAGATGGGTGAGTACTCCAGGCTGCAGGGGATGCTAGCACCATTGATTGTTCTCATGAAGCCAGTACAGTCGAACTGGAACAGTCACAGAACAACAGTTTGATCTCTGCTCCCCTTTGTATCAGTCCCATGCAATGGAACACGGCGCAAGAGACGTCTCCCCCTCCCTCCAGAGCTGGAAGGGGAGAGGAGCTTCCAGCCCCAGCGTGGTGGAGTTAGAGGAGCATGAACAGTTGAAATCCTGCACATGGGTACGGTGTGACCCTGGAGGTCTGTTTTTTCCTGTCCTGAAATGGGCTTCATTCCTATTCTCTTGGGGGTTTTCATGGTGAACATCACCATGAAGGGTCTTTGCCTAAAATGCTTTATGCAGCAGCAACATTTATTGTGGAATGTCAATGCTGCTTGAAAATGGAGTTTACGCTCACCTCCGTGTTTCTGCAATTACTCTGAATGTACTGAAATGGAAGTCGTCGTATTACATTAAATTGCACAGCCAGAGTGTTTCTTTACTTTCTCTCTCTGAACTAAAGATAGAGATACTTCTCCACTTCACAGTAACTGCATATATTGATAAACAAACTTTATGACAAATGTTCTGATAGATCATTTTTTCTATTACAAAATTACGATTGAGTCAAAATCCAAACTTCCTCTGGGGATTTCTTAGCTTCAACAAAGCTCTAAGTCTAAAGAGAAGTGTTTTGATAATGCTGAAGCATTATTGAAATCAAAAGTTTCCATTCTTAAGTCTGGTGTTACACACAAGATAACATTTTAAAACTCATTGATTTTTACTGTTCAAACAAAATGTAAATTAAATTCTTGCAAATTTGAAATTCTTTGATTTCATTCAATTTCTGACCATCTGAAATTCCATGGTTTTAATACAGAATTAATCCTAGGTGGGGTTTCTGTCTAACTCTCTACCACCATTTCACCCACCACTGCTCAGAGCAGCAGGAGAAGGAACCCATCTCAGACCTTACCTTAACGCATCTTCCATCGTGCTTCTTGTCAAGGGCTTGGTTACGGCTAGAGGGAGAGAGATGGAGAAGTAAAGAAAGGATTAATCTGTTGATACCATGTAGTCACCTCGCTCATTAAGTCTCTCCACGCGTAAAGCCCCAGTAATTAATCAGATTCAGGAGCTTTGACACGGAAGATCGCAGGCATTAGGGAAGACAGAAATTTGTGAAAAATCTAGTCCACCCTATGCTTAGTCAGAACCCCAAAGGCTTTTTTTCTGCTGCATTGTAGGTAATCGGGAGACCTTATACTCACAACAATTCCCTGCAGAGGGAGCACTCGTTGGGGTAGGTCACACCGTTGGTGCCACAGACAGGTTCGTAGTTGCGGGGACAGACAACAGTCGCTGTTTTTCCAGAAAACTGGTATGGGCCGCAGGATGCCTGTTAAAGGAGACTTGTTATGTACCCGAGCGGAGAGAAGGGTGTGCTGGTGTTAATCATGTTTTCGCTGTGTTGGGAGACTATGGTTGGTCATTTTTTCACTCTACAATTCCTCCACGGTGAAGAAGAGAGGGAACAAAATATGCTTCTTACAGCATGCAAAAGCACCTTCTTGCTATTAAGACTTTCAGTACTTTTGGCAAGCACTGCAGGGAAAATGATCATTCCTTAGGGAATCAAGACGGCAGATATTTAGGCAGTTATTCAATAGTTGTATAGATTTTCTGCTGGCACTCTGCGCTGTGCTGACTCTCACTCTACATTATTAAACACTGTCTTTTTTATCATCAACATGGTAAGCTATCTTTCTCTGACAAAGGTGTTTTCTTTTTTTGGGGGGAAAGAGGTGGTATAATACTTAGGGGGGCTTTTCCTTCTTTCTTTCTTACTTAGTCTCTTTTTTTTTTCTCCCTCAAGCCTTTCCTGGGGTACAGCATGAGTATAAATTATTCATCTAGACTTAGAAATCTAGACTAAATGACAAAGATATACTACTCACCCGTCGTTGAGCAGTAACAAGATCTACAATAAAAAAAAAAAAACAAAACAGAGATTATAAAATGTAAAAATTATACAATGTCCTTCACCAAAATTCATCTGGAATCATCGATTTCCCAACAGAATAACCAAATACACTGTCTTATTACTGAGAAGTGATTGTTTTCCCAAATATTCCATTTAATCCAAGTAAATAAGACATTATATGCTAAGATTAAAAAATCAATTATCTGTGAGAACAGAAATTTTGGCTCACTAAAGAAGAAATAGGACATCAACGTTTCTCCCTATGTAGCACTATTATCCCCACTGAATGTCCTAAGTTTAAATCAGACAAATGCACCCTATCAATCTATAGCATTTATCTGCACAAGGATAAAGTTAATTAAAAGAGAGCTTGCACATTACTAAATCATCACTTCTCCAAAAGGCTGATGTCTCCTTGAAAATGCATATATAAAGGCAAAGGTTGAGGAGGACTAGAGATACTAGCATAGACTGTAACAAAAAACAACTTACCAGAAAGGCAGCCGAGGAGCACAAGCCCAAGAAGGGCAACGCTTCCTGTGGTCTTCATAGTGGAGATGGTTGGACCGTCTGTTACTTGCAGATCTGTTGCCGTTGAGGTCAGTAGATGGTTTTCAGCCTTCCCTCGCTGCACTATATATATACATCTCCCTGACCTTGTCAAGTCATCCCATAGCGTAATTATTTGCTCGGTAAACTAGGAAAATTGTATTGATTATTGAGTTGAGCTCTAAAGAATACTTGTTTGTTAGAGAGATGCCCAGAAGAATTAAACAAAAATGTGAGCTACACCCAGGTTGTTAACAAAGGCGCCCTCACAATGAGTGATTTGTACTTTCCAAACAAGAGCACTGTCTCAATTGTAGGTGTTGTGAAATTACGTATGGAAGTTGGTAAAGCAAAAAAAGGCCATTTGTTGAAAGTCTTTGAACTTGTGCCCACCACATGCCATACACTAGACGGTATCTGGACTCCACGAGAGTTGCATGGTACACCAGGATGGAGGGTCAGCAGCATGGGAGACTCTAAGCTTTTACAGACAAAAAATCTGGGGTTTGGCAGGCATCAGGGCACTTTAAAGATGCTGAGGGCTCAATGCAGAGCTCTTTTCTGCTACATTGGATTTGTCACTAACAGGAAGGAAGCAGTCATCACAACAGGAAAGCATTACCTAAAACTTGGGAAGTTTATAAGACATTTCTATGTAGGAGCAAGAGTTATTCACCTGTTGGCAATGGGCATCAGTCTGATTAAGAAATAACAAGAATAAGTAGCCTTAAATCTGGACTGGGGTAATGTTTCCTCTTAATGGCAAGTCAGTGGTGTTCTGTGCAGGTGAAATTGGCTTTTTAATACCAAAGACATTCAAGAAAAATTTGCAGCAGCTGCAAACAGAAATTGAGTCTTTAGGCATCTCCCTCCCCCCTCTATTATATGGCATTAAATTTAGACTGTCAGATGAAAGCTGTTTTTCAGAGAAGATAAGTGAAAAATAATGTGCTAGGCTTTGTTAAGTGGTTCAACTCTATCGCAAGTGTATGGAAAAACAAACAAGGAATATTGCATAAAATAATACATTTTTGATTTCAGGTACTCACGGAAGGAAGTGAGGGACGGAACATGTTTATGCTTTAGAAGAAGCTTGATTCATACATGCAGCTTAAAGGCAGCCTGAGTTTTAAATAGAAAATCAGAATTGTTTTTCTTATTATCATGGGAGAAGTTCAAGTCTTGGCATGGGCAGATAAATCATAAAAATGTAGCTGAAAGTGCAAGGGAACTGTAGTCACAGAATGAAGCTTGCGGGATTTGGCCCGTTAATATCAATGAAATCATTTTCCTGAAAAATAAATGAGTAATGCCATTTGGATCTCATTCACAAATATCAGAAGTTGAAGGGTTCCTTTGAAAGCTGTTCCTGTTGTATTCTTAGCATCCTGAATGACTTGACTTTTAGATTCCTTGAACTGATTATGAGCATATTTGGAAGGGAATCAGTAATCACAGACACATTACTATTGATTATTCTCCAGGGGCAAGAACGCTAAAGCCTGGAAACAAGGCTTCCTCAGAACTTGCACCAGCCGCCGGTGGAGGTTGCACTTACTGGCTCTACAGTGGTTAGTGAGGCTACAGGAACATAGTCTGTCTCCTCTCCAGCCCCGCGACCTAAACTTCTCCATCCATATTCACCTCCAGAGCTGAGACCCCCAGTTACCAGATGCTGTGCCGCTTCTCTACTTGTCTCTCCTGCTGGGCTGAAATCACACCAGTCGCTCAGGAGCTGTTGTGAATGGCAGGGAATCTGCTAGAGAGCAGCATTATTCTTATGTATGGCCAACACCTGACCTTTGGTTAATTAGATCCACTGGGGAGATCCTCCTCTGATCCACATGCTGCTTCTGAGGGTCTGGCTGGCTAACCAAGACTGCTCCACAAGCAGCTTTTTTCCTCCAGTAATCCCTGCCACCTTACAGGGCAGCAGGGAGAAAGAAGAGAAGCAAGGAAAGAGTCTTGCTACAGGGTCTATGGGAAAGGACGGAAGATAATTGGTAGCAGCCAGGGCAGGGCAGCGAGAGCTGCTGGGCTAGGTGTGACCTGGGATTGCACAAGGAGCTCCATTAATTAAGAAACAGAGGGAATGGGACAGAAATAATTGCTGGGCAGCAGGTGGGTTGGAAACAGGCATTGGGAGCAGTAAAAAGCAACTGTCTCCATGCGTTTAGAAGAGCAAGCTTCAGGAAATGTCATACACATGTTACAAATGGGAAGGGCAAAATGAACTCACCTGCAACCCCCCCCCCGTGATATTCAGGAGTCTCGGAGTCACTTTACTGAACCATAAAGTGACTTTGAGCACAGGATTTTTTCAATCTTTCTACAGATATGAGAACCACAGAAAAGTTTAAACAAATCGCTTCCTGCTATTTCAAGTTCTTAGAGGGCAAGCTTTCAGGAAGGTTATGGCCACATGAGTGGGATAAACATCGGTAGTCACATGATGGACCCTCTTGTGTTAAAGTAAATTTCCAATAACTCTGGAAATTCTACCCAGTTTCCAACCCAGCATTATTTCTTCCCATAAAAGTGATACTTCCCTGGGAATCTTTTCCTCCGGTCTTGAGATTCCCTATCTCAAGCAAGTCCATAACCTTGCACGACTTAAAGTCATCATTTATTTCCCTTGCTTTAGTTTAAAACATGTCACAGACTTCATCTGGTTACAAAGAGAAATGATACTTTTTAATTTGCAAGGCAAAAAAAAGAAGACAGAAGTGTGCATGGAAGACCACGTGTTGTTATTGCAGCAGCACTGTCATTGTCCTTGCCCCCATGTCCTGCTGTCACACACTACAGTGTAATCAAGAATAAAGTGGTAATAAGCTCCAGTGTACACTACTATAGAGACAAATGCAAAATGCATTTCTTTGCCTTGGACTAGCGATGGGGCACACTGCAGGAGCTCCCAAACCAGGCTGCTGTTCCCAGACCTCTGCACAGGGGGGCAGAGCTGGATCTTTTATGAGAAGGCGAATTCAATTTGCAGCAAGCAAAGCCCCTGCTCTGAGCCGCGCTCATGGAATATTTCTCCTTGCAGCTCAGCTATCTGATTGCTGCCTGCATATCTCCAGTCGTTTAAGCATAGATGATATCACAGGCAAGAGTGTCTGGAATAATTTGACTGTCTGGGAGCCGCACACTAACAGCAAAGGGCTGAGGATCTGGCCCCGCACATCCAAATCCCTCAGCAAGACCCAGCTCTGACAATAGAGCAATAGCTCTGACACAGCCAGCCCCCAAAAACAACACCACCAAGTAATTTTCTTCTAAAACATCCTTTTATTTTTCTCCGCATCGAGAAAAAAACATAGTAACAAACCATTTATCCTGAATGAAGCCTCAGAGAGAAACTCCATTATCAGAAAGGTCTAGACTGGCCTGAGGTATATTTTGGCCAGAAACAAGTAAAACAATACACTAAAACAGAAGCACTGATATAAAATCGTGCAGAACAAAATAACAATATGCAATGTGTTAATCAGGTTGTGGGGTAATTGAATGGCATTTCCTAAATTCATAAACATCAGATAATGACATAAAGTGCCGAGGTACTGCTTGAAGAATCATACCATAAAATACCTCGGCAGGCAGACAAGGTTTCCTGCCTTGAATTTCCTGGAGGGAGAGTTAGATTAGTAATAGTGAGAGGATTTTGTGTTGTTGTGGCATGATTTTATTGAGCAGCAACAAAAAAAAAATATTTCCAATGAGGTGCCCATACAAGAGGACTGTCTTCCTCTGCCTCCCAAAGGAGCTGCCCCCCCGGGCCATGGGGTCTGGGGTGCCTCTGGGGTCCTGTTCTGCCCTTGATTACTCTGAATAGCTCTGCGTCAGGGTGGAGGATTGGTCCCCATTTATTTCTACTCACAGTTTCCCCTCAATTGCCTGGTGGACATTCCTGTTTAGCGGACATGGCCCCTGGAAGGTGCCTTCTGAGGACCAAGGGGATCTTGAGTGCAATCAGGAGCTCTGCTTGTCTCCAAAGCGTCATGGCTCCTGGGGACCCTCCTCATCCTCTCTGCTGCTCCTCATGAAAGAAAATAAGTGCTGGAGCCGGTGTTCTCTTACTCCCACCTCCCTCACGCAGTGGAGGGGGACAAGAAAGAGCATGAAGCCCCTGAGCCACACACCCCTCAAACCACCTCCCAGAGCCTCAGTTTGTCTTGGTCCTAAGAAAGTGCATATGAGACCGAAATGCCTTCCTGTACACAGACCTCCCTCTCACAGGAGGGACATTCCAGCCCCAGGAAGGGACTTGGCACTAACGGGTTGCAGAGAGTCATGTCTTTTGGAAATAAATTGTCTCCCTTCAGAGAGCTGCTCCCTCCAGTCTCTGGAAAGTGACACATTGTCACTTAAGATCATTAACTATTTGACTGTGAGACCGCTGCCTGTACAGCACGCCACAGTGCCAGCGCTTCGCTGTTAATGAATAATAAATTAACGCTATGACTCTGAGCCCTTCCTTTCATCAGCCAGGATTTCCAGAGGCCGAAGAATCTCAAAGGATCCTCTACGAGCGACAGTCGACATAATTACCTACAAGCAGCAGCTAAGTGGTGGGTGAGGTGCAGAAACGGGCTGCCGTAGTGATTGCTAGAAGTTCTCTGAACATCACGCCTGTTAGGACTGACTGCCCACTGGTTTTCTGCAACTCCCTGCAGCGACCAATGTTGCAGACACGAACATGGGCAGCCAGGTACCTGCCTGCCCAGGGGAAACATCCCGTCCTCTTGCTCCAGGAGGCAGAGTGAATTGCAAAACGGCTCCTCTCACCTAAAGGTGTGTTTCCAACCCTGCTTGCAAGGGGAAGAGATGCGGCTGGGCAACTGCCCTTCTTCACTCTTTCTGTTGTGGGCAAAAGAAATTGGAACTAAACCTGGAAACTGATGAGCAGCTCCCGGTGCCAGCAAGACCCTCTGGGCCTCCATGGCTTTTGCAGCACAGCCACAAACGACCCCCAACTGCAATAGTCTTGGGACTGGAACT